TTGGCTGACTTCCTCCTCACTCCTGTACCGATTTGAAGGCGAGTGTCCTCCAATACAGCTCGTCCAGTGCCATGATCCTCACAAGCCTGGAGCTGCCTGCCTTTCACTTGGGCAGTCCCTTATTCCCCATTAATACTGCACAATGTGCAGTGCTTCAGCAGTCTGGGAACGAGACTTCACCTTCAGGAAGGCCCTGAGCAGGTCCCTGCTAGCAACACCAGGAGGCTGATGCATGGAGACACAGTCCTTGATGCTGTGGTATAACATGGAGCAGTCCTGCGCATCTTCCCAGGGCAGCAACAGCTGGGCTAGCAGAGAGAGTGTCTGCTTCCTTCCATAGGGTCTCAGGAACCCTTTGTTCTGAGCTCAGATCTAGGTCACTGCTAATTCAAAAACCCCTCACTGTGCTCTTTTGTATGGTGTAGATGTACCTTTGGAACTAGGACAGTCTTGGATGCTGGTAGATAAGATAAAGGAAAAATGAGAGGCAAAAGATACAGGCATTACTTTTGCAGTAATTTGCAGTACCTGCCTGCTAAGGAAGATGTATTTTTTTCCATGAATCTACTCTTTTTGCACACAACAGAGGAACAAACCTCACTGCCCTCCAGTTCGGTCTGAGCACAGTGCAGGAGCTCTCCCAGAGCTCCAGGGATAGCCCAACAGATTGTGAGTGCAGCCTGCAGGTGGCCTGTCACCATAGATGCTAGGAGATTAAAAGGGTTTCTCAAATTTCATGGCAACATTCTCTTCCCTTGTGGTGCAACCGAACAGTTCTACAGATTAGAGAACTCAATTAAAATGCAAAGAAAACCACTCAGAATGATGACATGGGTTTGATCTGGCCTCCAGAGCCAAGTCTCTCAGGCAGCACCCTGCCATCATCTTTATGAAAATGAAGGAATCCAGTACGTTAAAAGCAATCTGGAACACTCATCCTCACTCTGAGCAGCTGTTCTGTTTTACCGTCTACCTCTTAATGTTTTTTGCTAGCAAATATTTCTGTGACAAAGATGCTGTTCATTCACATGCCTAACAAATGGCTTGTCACAAAGATGCTCTTGTTTGCCTGCAAACATCTCTGTTGACTGTTCTTCCTTGGTGCCAGGAGCCCTCTCTCCAGCAGGCAGGCAGTAGGGACTGGTGACCAGCCACACATATGGCCCAGGCTGCAGGGAAACATGCATGAGGGACGCGACGAGCGAAGCACTTTGTGTCTTAGGAACACTTGTAAACAAAGGAGCTCCAGTGCTAAAAGAAATCAACTGCAACAAATGACATGGAGAGATCAAAGGAATATGCACCAAGGTGGCAACTCCTTCTTGCATGTGATTTTATTTCCCTTTCCTCTCTTCTTTAGACGTAACTACATATGACAATCTCCCAAGCAAAGAATTTCAGAGGTTTCTCTGCCTTTGTTTTCCCAGGTCTTTCAGAAGCTCTGTCTCTTCTTTTCCCCATAGGTAGACTAAAGGCTGTGGTGCAGAGCTTTACATATGATTTGGAAATAAATAATGGATGATTGACTAAGCTGGTGACAGACTTTAGCAGCAGCAGCTGTGCGTGCTGGAGGCTGAGGGCAGCCTGGGTATTCTCTTTCCAGCTGAATGGCAGCAGTCAGGAATCTCTTCTCCCATTCACAGGGACTCGGCACCATTTTCATCACAACCTGGTTCGGGTTCATCTGGGGAGTTGCGAGACTTCTGGTTTGCCTCTCCAGCTGTCCATAAGGACTCGGTGGGACAACTCTCCCACCACCACCAGTCCCATCAAAGTCAGTGCATGGACAAGAAGTGTCCTGTTCATTAAAGACTAGATGGCCTTTAAGGGTCCCTTCCAACTCAATGATTCTGTGATTCCATTCTATGATTTTGCTATATAGATTTGAGACCTCACAGCAGCCCTAAAAGTTGTAATTGGTAAAAATCTAACCAACACCAGAAATGATACAGCAAATTCACACCCTGCTAGAACAGTGCAGCCATAAAGACAGGTGCTCTGCCTGCTTAGCTCACACTCTGTTCTTTACAGCACTGTCCGGAAATGTGAGGAATCTGCCCTACGTCTGCCTGTCAATTAATCACCACTTGGGCAGAGACAAACCACTGCAGCCAGGAGAAGGTCGGAGGATCTCGTGGCTCTGTGCCCAGCATCTTTCTCCATATTTACGGTTTCACCCAGCAGCACATCTCCCCACTGCAAATGGGACACCACCAAGACAATTCTTTTCAGGTAGGCTACTAGCAGGAAATTACGGTTTAGTGAGTCACAGATCCTAAAATACCACTATGAGGCACGTGGCTGCTGTAGAATAATAACAATAATAAAGCAATGCAAGCGTACACATTTGGAATGCGTGAGGAAATCCTCCATGTGTGGAGGAGGAGAGACAGGCACACCCAGGCAGCTGCCAGGTCTGCTGCACCTAGGGGCAAGCAGACAGACACACAGACAGACAGTCAGCACACACTAGCCAGCACAGAACAAGACAGATAAGTGCTGCTGTGGACAAAACCTCACCAGCAGGCACAGGAGCTAACACTGACCAACACTGTGACCTCATCTCATGGCACACAGCTGAGGGCTACGAACCAGCCTTGTTTTATTTATTTGAATGCATGCCTCACTTCTCAGCACGGTGCACCGATGTGGTACACAGACCTGCTCTTTCTGGTGCTGTCAGGTTTTCAAGTTGGGTGTCAATAGAGGTGCTGATGATCCCCAAGAACGGCCAGTGTGGTGCCTTCTGACTGATGCAGCAATGTTTCCCAAGCATCTTAGTGCAAACAGTGCAATGCTCAGCTCCTCTTCAGGACAGAACTGATGGGCTGCTCTGACCTTTGCTGCCTGACCTACACAAACCTGACTACAGCTTTACGTCATCTGTGTGGGAGATCCAGTTGGACAACAAACAGCAAACAATCGAACGCTGCTACTACTACCATTTTGGGATTTATGCACTTGTGACATCCCTCTTCACAATCACTGCAATCTGGCAGGAAAAGAGGTTGGACATTTCTGGAAGAATGAATGACAGGATGGAAAACTCATCTGGGTGCTTAAGCAGCACTCAGGACTAAGCCTCAGCGCAGTACACCAGTACAGTCCACACCAAAAGGAGAACTTGCTCTTACCGTTATTCTGTGACCTCTTCAATCCCCACCGGCACCCACAGTGGCAGTGAGCACTGCCAGACTCTTATGTAGGAGAAACTTCAGCTTTGCGCAGCCTGCCTCTGTCACCAGCTGAAGAGCAGTTAACAAAGAAAGAAATCTCAAAGATTTCCTTAAAGACTAATGCACAGGAAGGAGGAGAAGGCAGGGTCCGCTCTGTCTCAGAGCCCCGAGACTGTGCATGTTCGTGGGCTCAGGCAAACCAACCCCAGGCCCCAGCCATGCTGCTGCACCCTGCCAACAACCTGCTCCCTCCCCACTTCTGCACAGCTCAGACCCAAGGGACACAGTGCCTGCAACATTCCCTTTTTCCCCCTGGCAGTGTCAGAGCTCCAGCACAGGAGACGCACAGTGTCCTTGTGATGCTCCTGAGCTGCAGTCAGTATTGGTAAGATGAAACCTCTGGAATTCTGTGAACTTACCTTGAGCAATGTGACGAGCAGGAGGACAAAGTGTCCAGCAGGAATTTTTAGATCCCACACATCAATTTTATTCTGACTGTTACTGCCCTCCTTGCCTCACTGGACTTCCCAACTTCCAGACCACGCATACTTGGAGTACAAGTGTCTCTCTTATCTTGTGCTCGGCACAGGGTACCCGAGAACACTGAGCATCTGTCTGCAGGACGTGAGGCTTTATGGAGACAGGTCTGCCAGGGCACCTGGAAATCAGAGCGCATGAAATCAGCTAATTGTGGCTGAGTATCTTAGCTCTAATTTCAAAATTATGCTTTTACCACAGGTACGGTGCTACCTGCTTCTCCGTGACACTCCTCGAGATGTCTGCTCTCATGGCTGAAGCCATGGCTGTGGTGAGGCCCAGAGGCCTGGCAGGAGCCCCACAGCGCCGTGCCCAAAGCACTGCCTGCTGAGCAGGAGTCGCCCAGCCATCAGCACCAACCCCCAGCACAGACCTGTTCACCAGTGCTGTGCCACAAGGCTGCATGTATCTCACTGCGAGAATCCGGCCTCCATTTTGAAGCTTCCTTGTGGTTGCAGAGCTTGAGCACACCGCCCTACACCTGCACCTCCAACACGGGAGGGTTACACGGGTGATGAAAACGCCTCTCTGTGTTTTCATCCATCTTCTGCTTTTACAGCATGAGGTGTGATCAACAAAGCACCCTGGAGCCATGGTGCACCCAGAGGACGTGGAGCTGCACAGCGTTCAGCCCACCTGTGTCCTACGTGCCTGGTGCTGACGGCCCTGCTCTCACTGCATGTGTGCAGGGAATGCTCCCACGGATCCCCGAAACGCGGCAATGCTTATCGGTGGACATCCACCCACTTGTCAAAAAATGGGAAAACCCGATTCAGGAAAATTTAAGCCCCCCGAGGGGGGGGTGCCGGGGGCTGGGAAGCCGCCTGGACAAGGTTTCGGTGCCCTCATGAAGAGGACGCGGCCACCTTCTGCCCGTGCCACGCAGCGGAGCGAGGGCTCACGCCCTGAGGGCTGCGGGACGGGAACGGCGAGGGCGGCGGGGATGGGTTTGAGGAGGGGACGGGAGGGCGAGGCGGCTCCCGCGCTGCGGAGGGGCGCGGAGGCGAAGGGACCCGGGGCCGTCGGGCGGCCCCACGCCGCGCGGGACTCTCCTGGGGGGGCGGCGGCGCCCGCTGCGGGCGGCCGGAGGCGGGGGCGGGCAGGGGCGGGCGCCCCGCGGGCGCGGAGAGGAGGAGGAGGAGGAGGAGGAGCGGCGGCCGCCGGAGGATGGGCGCGAGCGGCGGAGCCGGGCAGCGGCGCGGGGGCACGGGCGGCGGCGGCGCGGCGGCGGCGGGCGCCGCGGCATCGCCCGCGTAGGGCGGCGCGGGAGGCGGCGGCGCCGCGGCCATGGAGAGGGCGAGCCCGGCGGCGGGGAAGCTGAACGCCGGCGGCCGCGGGGCGGGCGATGGGCACGGCCCCGCGGGGGGCAGCCAGCCGCGGGCGGCGGCGGCGGGCGGCGCGGAGCCGGGCGAGCTGATCGGGCGGGCGCTGGATTTCAAGAGCGAAGGGGCGCAGTGCTACAAGGACAAGAAATTCCGGGAGGCCATCGGCAAGTACCACCGCGCCCTGCTGGAGCTCAAGGCGCTGCTGCTGAGCCAGGAGCCGGGCGGGCAGCGCCCCGCCAACGCCGCCGCGGGCGGGCTGAGCGACGAGCAGCGGCAGGCGGTGGAGGCCATCGAGATCGACTGCTACAACAGCCTGGCAGGTCAGCGGGGAGCGGGGCACCGGGACCCCCGGCCGCGCGTCCCTTCCCCGGCGTCGCGCCCCGGCCCCGCCGCGCTTTTAGCGCGAGTTCGGCACCCGGGCGCCGCTCACGGCCCCCCCCTGGCCCTCCCCGGGCTGCCGCAGGCCCCGGCGCTGGGAGAGCGGCGCCCGGAGCGCGGAACCGCGGCCGCTGAGCCGAGGCGCTGCGCCGCTGCCCCGCTGCCCCGCAGCCGCGGGTGTCCTCCGGTCCGGTCCCCCCGCCGCAGCGCGAAGCCGGTCCGGTAAGCGGCGGCACGGCGGGGAGCCTCCCTCACCGCGAGCGAGGCAAAGCAGGGGAAGGCGTCGGGTGCTGCCGCAGTAGCTCCGAATAGCGCTGGGTACCAAAGGCGTTTTCTTGCCCCTTAGCTATAAAAGTTGAAGGCAAATATAGCGCTGGCTTTTCGCTAGGCGCCAGTCGCAGCTGCGGCCAGCAGACGTGGGCTCATCCCTCCCATCTGCTCGGGAGAGGTGCTGCGGGAAGATGGAGGGGAGGGCCGGGGATCGGCGCACTTTGAGGTCTGGTTCTGAAGTCCCCGCTGAGCAGCTGCACCCGTTTCTGCTTCCAGGAAACACATGGATGCTTTCTTTCCAAGCCCGAAAGCATCCCTAAAACAAAAACTTGTGGCTACATACGTAGAGGGTAGGGAAGGTTCGCGCTCAGTGAGGTGCTCAAAATGACAAAACTGATAAAGCTCTGCTGTTTTCAGAAGGATGAAGGGTCACTCACTACCCTTTATATCCTTGGGGAAAAAATGGCGAAAATCAGGACACTGGTGTGTCAGCTGTCACCGCCGCCTGGCTCCTGGCTTTCTAGACACTTGGCGAGCTTTGGTTCCTGTTGTCCAGGGCTAAAAAAAGAGGCAGAATAAAGCAAACCGGGTTTGAAACATCAAGCCAGAACCTTCTCCTGTCTAATCCGTGCCAATCTGTTACGCTCAGTGTGCCTTTTGGGATGTAGCGGGGGGCCACAATTTAGCCCCCATTTATCACATTTCCAGGTATTCCTCCTTCAAATGCCTGTTGAAGTCGCTAGGAGGGAGAGGCAGGTGAGATTCCAGAGTGATAGCATAATTGCACAGCTGTAATTTTGCCTCTCACAGAATTTCTGTTCACCGGTTTATTAAAACCCATTGTATGTGGCAGGGCTTGTTGAGGTGAGTGGAGTTAGGTATACAGAGCCCATCGTACTACGAACAGTTCTGCACAGAGTGTTTGTGGCTTTGCAGATGTACTCCCAGGAACACCTCTGCCTGCTGGCAGTGCCGAGGCACAGCGGGGACACGGCAGAAGGGCTGGGCTTACCCCAGCGGCACTTTGCTGCACGCACAAGTTCTGCTCGCTGAGGTGTGCACAGTGCCTGCAGGGTCCTCCTGCAGGATGGTCGTTGTCCATTTATTTGCTGTTTCTGGTTGCTGCAGGGAATTTTTCTCAGTTCTGGTTGTACTTGATTCTGTCAGTGGTAGCCTTCTGACATGAGAAGCCTGCTCCATCTTTAGCCTAGGTTTGAACAGATTTCACCTAAATTTAACTGGTGTGAACACAAAAAGAGATGACAACAGTTAACCCTGGAGGTGCAGGCAGTGTTTTCCCCGGGGTAACGTGGCAGCAGGTCAGGGTGCCCTTTTGCTCACAGCATTGTTTGTTTTCAGTAGATGGACAGCAGAGAGCGGAGAACAGAGAGAGAGAATTTGTCCTGGAGATGCTGAGCAGGGCGTGCTGTGCTGCCTGACGGAAGTGCCCCTGTTGGAAAGGAGAGCGTGCGGGTGAACAAACTGCAGCGCTGCTCTTCCCAGCACAGCCCCTGAGCTCCCACTTAGCAGGAGGATCTGTGAATTAGTGTCTGAAGGGAAGGAGAGGGGTGGGAGGGAGCTCCTCCAGAACTGTCATAACAGTTAGTACACCTTCCTAATAGAAACCTCACGAGGTGCAGCAGCGGGGCTGTATTTTGTAAGGGAGTGGTGCAGCAGGAGCCAGCAGATCCACTACACAGTGAGCTCCAACACCAGTGCCTGTTGTTGGAGCAGCAGTTGGGGTTACTGGATGCGGGGAAGAGAGGAGACACAGGGCGTTCCGCTTCTGAGCACAGCCTAGAGCTGTTTTTAAAATAAATAAATCTGCATTGCATAGTGCAGAGAGCATAACAGCCATGCATGTTAATTCTAGAGAAGACAGTTTTTCACTTAGCTCTGATTTGTACCCGATAGCCTTAGCAGCTGTCATCTGAATGTCCTTATTATCGAGTGTCTTCAGCACCTCCGCTTGCTCTCCAAGCTCAGCAGTTAGGAAGCCCACTTTGGTTTTGCACTGTTGTTTTCACACGGCCAGCACACATTCACCTGTCAGAGATGTTTTGCATGGTAAATATAGATGTGCACACCTAATTGCTTACTTAAAGCCAGACAGAAGAGCACATTAGCTATGGTTATAATGCACTCAGCCAAGTAAGCGGGTGAGAAATACACACCCTGAGGGGATTTGGGAGGATTGGATGGGTGAAGGTTGTGCCCACAAAGAGTACAATTGAGGTTGGTTTGTATTTTATGTGGGCCAACAGTGAACTGTTGTCAGTGCATTTACTGCTTTGCAAAATGTAAAGTCATAGATTCACATAGAGCACCTTCAACAGGCAGTTCCCATACTGCAGGGCAGGGCGGCTCCTTCTTGCTTTTAATCAAAGCCCCAAAATATTTGGTGTATTTTCTCAAGTTTCTGCTTGCAAAGCTATGTGGCACCTAAACTATTTAAGTCCATCACACAAGATTCCAAAACCTGCTGGTCTGTAAAGTCCTGTGATTTATGTAAATTGCTGGCCTAGGATTTTCACTGCTGGCCACCAGTAGTACTGCTCACATTTCCTTCACAAAGCTGTGAGCTGGGCCACATAGCTAGCCCCAGGAGTTTCACCTGAAAGAGATTCACCCCTCATTTGCACAGCCCAGCTGAGAGCCCTACATCCATCTGATAAATGTTACCGGGCACAAGGGCAGCAGCTTGGTCAGGGCTCCCAGAAATCACTGCGGTAGGCAAAGAAAAATCCTACCAGCAGTGCACAGCCTCACAGAATGAATGCAGGGCTGTGAGGCAAACAGTCATTTCTTTATGACTCACTGACGGTCTCTGACCTTGAGGAAGTCACTCGACCTCTTTTTGCTTCTCTCAGCCCATTTGAAAAATAAAGAACAGGAACCACGATCCAGTCCTGGTGGTGCATTCAACCGAGTTTTCCCAAGTCAGTGGTTTGTATTCTTTGAAAATAAAGATGAATGTAGGAACAGTGCCTGCAGAAAAACAAGCTGGCCAAATACCACTCATGTCCCAGTCTCCTTTCCACTCATATAACATCTTGTGCATAGTTGAAGCTAAAATGCCTTTTGAACCACAAGTAGGTAGAGAGCATCTACCTGCTACAAATGCAACCACTATCTCCATTAAATGCAACAATAATTTATTCCGGCTTTACAGCCCGAAGGTTTCAGAGGATCTGTCCAAAAGGATCTCTGCAGAGAGGTGTAAGTCCCAGTCCTTCCAAAGCAGCAAAATGCACAGAGTAAGCATAGTTTTAAGCTTTGTTGTGAGGGAACATTGCAGTGTGATAAGCAAACCTTTGTTGGTTTTCCCAAGCATGCAGAAATACTGGAGCTAATCTTGGCAGGAAAAGCAGAACCAGAGACAGAATGAAGGACGAGGAGTGATGCTGGGAGATGTGAACGTTCCATTCCGCCTCTCTGTGCTGACCAGTTGTATTAGCTTCACCAAACTTTCATTCTTTGAGCCTCAGTGTATACATCTGCATCGATGACCTCTTGGGAGTGCTGGAAGGCTTTGTTAATTACGTGAATGCCAATTAAATGCAACGTGTTCATCTCCATTGAAGTACGCTTATTTTAGTACAGGAGTCCCGTCAAGAGGGCACACGTACTTGCAGAGTATTACAAAGCATAGCCATCCATGTTGGGTCTCAGCCTGGACAGCAAGTACAGCCTTCAGAAAGCAGTTCTGAGGCACTTGGTATAACCCAAGTGAAAATATAACTGTATGAGAAAAGATGCTAAAACTTGTCCGCACTGACCACCCACTAAGACACCTCAAAAGGAACCTCTACTAAAATCCCACCCCAGTATATAGCAGCTAACAAGTACAGACTCTACCAGGGCACATTGCTGTGGGTGTTAAAGCAGACTTGGATTGTTGCTGGATGTGAAGTTTTTTTACATGCTGCATCAAAAAACAAAAAAAACCAAAAAAAACCAACAAAAAAAAACCCAACCACTTGGTAAGGATGCCATGCAGTGGGAAAAAGAGAGAGCAGTAAATGTGAGCAGGATGTGGCTGCATTTTCACTGAGGTGGGAGTTTCCTGACACTTAGTTTAGATGCATCTGCCCAACCAGAGTGATGGGAACGTCTGTTGTACAGGCCTGGCACGGTCCTTGTTCCACATAGGTGCAGTCAAAGCAGAGAATGAATACAAGTGACTGTGAGGCATTTTTACTGATAGGCCCAAACCCCAACATGTATTTAAATAAGTGAGATTTGAAGCCACTGCCATGAATTAGTCTATACAAATCCTTCGTATTTACCGATTCCCTTTTATTTTGGAGAACAAAATTCTCCCTGCTCAGGGAAGAGTTTTGTATTCACTGAGAGAGTGGGATAGCAAATACTCTCAAATTTGAATATGTCTGACAGCACCTCCCTTGCTGAGGCAGGAGACGCATTTTTCTCTCTATATGTCACTCTTCTTCCCAAGCCTTTTCAAAACTTGAGGCTGTGGTGGTGGCAGGTGTTTTTGCAGTCTCTTCTACCAGATGCCCAGTTGCCTCATCCCTGCTGATCTCACCTGATTGCCTGAAGCAAAGTGTTGCTAAAGTACAGAGTCCTATGCTAGACTGCCCTGAGGAGCTGCAGTCCTGGTGAGCTGAGATGGGTGCAAGGCTAACTGCAGCTCAACATAGGAGGTGAAGCAGGAGGCATCGAAGAACCACAGAGCTTTTTCTGGAACACAGAGCAGTGGTTAATTTGTTTACCTAAAAGCTACAGATTGTTGTCCTCCTTGAGGTGTGTGTTGGTATGCTTTCTGTGAAGTCTGTAGTAGCACCTCTTCCCAGCTTTACTCCGTCCTCTTCTGAAATGCTGTCCTGGAGTTTCTTCCTGCAAGAGTCCCACGGTGAGTTGCAGTGAGTCACAGCCTCTTCCTCCTCCCTACATTTCTATCAGTGATGCTCTGGAGATGGTTCAGGTGGTTCAACAAAGCCTCATGTGAAAACCAAAGCTGGTTCCCAACTTATTGCTAGATACATCCATGAGCTCCATGGTTACCTTCTTTTCTGGGAGCTGGGCCACTTTTCTGTGGTTCAGCAGGTGGAGCATCCTTCTTTTCCTCCTGTTCAGTTGAGCTGAGACCCAGAAATTTCTAACCTAACTCCAGATTTGCTTCTCCAGTCGTTCTTCCAGAAATGCCTATCAGTTCAGAAGCACATCCCCAATCAGTGTTCTGTGAGCAGAATGACTGATGCTCCAAGTACGGAGGGTCATCAGAAGATTTCGTACTAGGATTTTAGCATGAGCTCTAACACCAATAAAAGAAACTGCTTTAAGGAAACAAATAGCAAAAGAAAAGGGTATAAATAAAATTGGAGATCTAAGTGTTGCCAGGTCCCACTTTCTTCCTGACACTGTGCCATCGTACAGAAAATAGCATGCAAAAGAGTGTGAAACTGAGGAAACACAATTTAAGAAAGAGGAACTACGTAACAAGGTTTTGAGAAAATTTACTGGCTATTTATTTTCTTCTATGTTCTCTTACTTTGCAGGTGAGAAATTGTGATATAAAAGAAATATATCCGTGTATTATAGAATATATATCTGTTTATTAATCTTGATTTCAGCTTATTCCAATAACCATACCAGTGACTAAAACTGAGGGTTAAAAATGTTTTGAAGAAGAGTCAATATTAACTATCCTTAACTAAGAAGTTGTTACTAACAGCTGCTCTGGAATCTGTTTCCTTTTGTTCATTTCTGCACTGCATCTTGGATGGAAAACGGTAAACGTAAGACATTGATAGATGAATGCAGGTAAATCTTCTTGTGGTGGCTTGGAGCATTTCTATTCCTTTTTTCTTTATCAAAGACAGTAGAGTCAGTGCAGTTTCTGGAAGATTCACTGGAATTGCTGGAGGTAGCTTCAGCTGCGGCAGGCTCACATGAGGTGGGAAGGAGGGAGGAAGGCATATGGCTGGCCCTGCTCCTGTACACCTGCCCAGGCAGCTGTGCTGTGCTTGGCAGCTCTGGAAGGTGGGGTTGGAGCAGAGAGGTCCCACCTCAGCATAACCATTCTGAGATTAGGACCATGCTGGAAATAATCCTGACACAGTTCACGAAGTGAATTAGGCACAGTCACGTTTTCTCTACAGTAACCCATGGCAGAAGGGACAGCTGGGAGCGATGATTTTATCTGTCATAACTTGATGTGCCAGAGCTCATCTGTTATTATCCATAGGCAACAGCTAATGTCATGATCTTTACTTCAAAATCCACTCTGTTCTCCTCACTCTGAAATTCTTGACACACCATCACCCTGAGGCTTAGAGACTGGATAGCACCATCTGCTTCTCCTTGGCTTTGTCCTGTGTACCCAGTTCTCCCATCATGTTTCTCAGCTCAGGAGGTGGGGCTGCTCACGCAGTCGGTGCCCTTCCCACTTGTGTCCTTCTGCTCGCCCCCTGGTCACAACACACACTTTTTGACCCCACAGGCAAAGTTCTGTCCCTTTCCAGGCCTTGTCCCCATTTTGCCAGTGAGGCTCTCTTGTCCTTTGTGTTCACAGGCTCTGCCCCACAGCATCTTGATGCACTTGATTCCTCAAAGCTGATTTTACCTATGGCATATTAGTTCAGGCCAGACCTTTTCTCCTTTCCTTGCTCCCTTTAAATCCCATCTCTGCTGTGAGACCTCCAGTACATCCATTTTTGACAGGTAAAACCTCAGCCTTACTAAAGCAAGTACTTTTCTCACCACTGCTCTGCATTCTCTTTCTTACCTTAACTGGAGCACTGTCTGTTGCGTTTCCTTGCTGCCAGTTGAGGGGGCTGTCATGAAGATTGTTCTGCATCAACAGCAGCAGCACCTCCTTTCATATTGGAGTGGCAGCAGCAAAACTCTGCTAAATCTTGCCGTTGATCTAGTTTCCTAGGAGCTGCTGGAAAGGAGCAGCTGGGTCAGCCAGCCAAGAGCCACCAAACTAGTTTTCATCAGATTGTGATTCTGAAGCTCCTGTAGTTCCCTCATTACAACTGTCAGTCTTCTTGCCCCTGGCGTTGCGCTGACCTGGCCACATCAGGGTCTAAATGGCTCATTTCCTACTTGAGGAAACTCAAGTGAGGTACTACCTTGCCAGAAGTCATTTTGCTCTGTAAAGCAAGAGGGATGAAGGCCCACTTGGTAGAACCTAGTCACACAGTGGTGGAGATTTACTACCTGCCTCATGTATCTGTAAGGCTCCGCTTGACATGCATAGCCTGATCTCAGCTCAGCTTGATACATTTATCTTAGGTCCGGCTTGAAAGACTTTGCTTTTGACTCCAGGCAGCAGAACTGTTTGCTGCTACCTGAAGCAGATGGAGGGGAGAGCAGAAAGTAAGTGCTGGTATATCCTTGTTCTGCACACTCCCCAGTGTGGTGTGTAAGGAGAAGAAATTTACTCCTGAAAGCAAATTGAAGGCAGAGGAGGTGTCTGGACTTGAAAATTTATGTTAGACCCTTAGTCCTTCTTTTGGCTATTCCTGGGCTGGCGTGACTAACCAGCTTCTACCTCCAGTGTGCTGTGCTATCCCTACAGTCACCATCTAACCCACTAATTCACCCTGACAGGAAAAGCATCTTCATGATATACAGAACAGTCTTTCAGCGAACTGCAGAGAAGAAGCTGTGAAAATTAGCATTCCTCCCCCTGCTCCTGCTCCCAGATAGGGAGTGGACAGGAAGACCTACGTTTCTTCCATTCTTTTAGGTAATAGGTGGGCTCCTTGCAAAAGCTGTAGCCTCTCCCGAACATGAACTATTTGGGGAGGCC